AAAAACGGGGCAGCAGTAACCAGCAGGATGTCTTGGCTGTAGGAACACTCTCAGATCAGCCTTTTAGGAAAAAGGACATGTGAAAATGGAGGATCTAGAAATCAGTTCCTTTAAAACTGTCATTGCTCATGTGCCTTTAGGAATTCTTCATGAACCCCTAAGGGTAATGATACCCCAATTTTAGACCACTGATTTAAAAAGAAGTTGGACTGTGGTTTAGAACTCTGAAGAGAGGTCTAAGCTGGGGGCTGAAGTTGGGACTCCTGGGAATGGTATCTGGGTGCATGAGAGTGTGGTCCCTGAAGAATATAATGTAGGGGGAGAAGAGTAGAGCCTAGCATTTGGGGGCTGATTGTCACTTAAGGAGTAAGCCAAGGAGGAAGAGGAGATGGAGAAATCAGAGAGGTAAAGGGAATGTAAAACTGTGAGAGCTGATGGAGGTTTTCAGTAGGATAGCCAACAGCGTGGAGGGACAGAGGTCAGAGGATGAGGTCTGAAAAAAGAGCAGTGCGAAGACCAAACACAGGTGGAAGGTTACTACAGCTTGCGTGGCCTTCTTACCTGTACAGAGGCCCCTCAGGAACACGGCTGCCCTCCACATGCGAGGCACCTGGATTTAGCTGCAAAGACAGAAAGCCAGTGGTTTTTGTTCCCCACCTTTCCTCCCTCTGGTCCCCATCCCCTGTAATAGCCTCCTCACCACGGGTTATTGCCATTTATGGGCTCTGTTTCCTTCTGTCAACCCAGGCAGAGAGGTCTTTATGCCCTTAGAACCTTAGCTTGTTCTACAGTGTTCTCTCTCCTTCCTGTGGACATGTTGGAAGGGAGGACAGTGAAGGATCCCTACAGGGCCAATGACCCTGTGACAGTTCCCTCACTTTTCTTTAGTTTTAAAAGCTTTGATAAAACAATTTTGGTAGAACAGTAGTGAGAAAAACCAGCAGGGAAGTGATGAGAGTGGAAATTGGATATATGGTTAGTCGGTTGGGGGCGTAAATATCTTCTGAGAAACTTGCCATGGGAGGGAGAGAAAGAGGTGGGCTGCCAGCTGCAGTGGAGTACAGGGTCAAGAGAAGCTTTGGTTGTTTTTAGGATTGGCTGTCTTAGAACATATTCAGAGACAAAAGGGAAGAATTCACAGAAGAGACTGAAATACAAGAGAGGAGAAAACGGAGAGGAAGAGCTTCCTGAGGAAGTGGGGTACCCAGGGCAAATGAGCAGAGAGAGAGAGGGACACACCTGCCTCAGCGTTCCCCACAGTGACCTGCGCTGTGTGGGACCTGAGCTCCTGCTGCCCTGCAATCAACTCCTGATGTACACAGTCAAAATTTGAGAAAGCTGGTGACCTAAAAATGTGTGTTTTCTCTTATGATTTTCTTAATCTTTTAAGTAATGTTTTAGCTATCTTCTTTTAATCAACCATGTCTTAGAGACTAGGCTCCTGACTTGTCTGTCCTTTCTGCGTGTTGTTCCCTTCTACAGTCCTCATTTTTTTTTTATCTAGTCACACTGACACCCGCTCCTTGTCACCATTCTTTTTGTTAACCTTTAACCTAACTTCCATTTCAGTGTTCTATTATGTAAGCCACCAGTGACAATATTCAATTTAATACAACTTGATAATTAGGTTTGCATTGTGGAAAATCCGTATTTAATTTTTGAAGGTGGTTAAGACTATAGTTTCTTTAATAACAAAATTTTATGTTTGGGACTTCTTTTAGGTTTACCATGAGTTTTAACAGACATAATCTGAAATACGACGTGTTACCAAAAAAGCCTAAGAAGGTGGCATTTGATTGCTTAGAATGGATCAAAAAGCATCACCCACGTGAGTACAGCCATGTGATGAATTATGTCTAGAAGTAATAAACAAATGTCTTTTTAGTACCACAACAGAATATATAAAATTGAATATTAGACATTTCTCATTGTGATAGCACTGACTTGCTATTTATAGAGTAGAATATTGCAACTCTCTCAATTCTGGAAATTGTAAAATCTCATTTGGTTTGATAACAGTAAACCCTAACATAAAATATATTAAATATTCCCTCCTACATCCTGTATTATAATTTGTTTTCAATGCCTTTCTTCTGGCTTCTATCAGTGTATGAATTATACAGGTCTTTGTTTTAGTGCCTTTTTCCAAGTGTGTCTCCCTTTAAGTTATATTAATTAAACTAAGATTCCGAAATTCATGGTAGTTTTCCATGCATGTAACAATCCCCTTTCCACTTTTCCAGGGAGAATTTTTTTGTTAAACATCTTTATTTCATTTTTTAAAAACTAGTGTACATATTTGTTTAAACAAATCAAACAATGCAGAGATAGACCAGGGAAAAGTCAGTAATTTCCCTCTCCAGGCTCCCCTCTGCCAGGAGACTAATATAAATAGTTTACTGTGCATATCTATACCTTTGGCTCTGCCACAGAGAGATGACTTTTTTTTTAATACCTTTTATTTTCTAATTTAAAAAATAACATTATATATAAAGACAACAGTAAATATAATTCATGTTCTTTGAAGAAAATTTAGAAAGAGACAAAAAGAAAGCAAAAGACAAACCTTACCTCAAGATAAGTCACTGTTATCATTTTGGTTTTTTGTGTGTGCAGTTTTCTTTCTATTAGCATGCTATATGTACCGTCTTTCTATCCTTAACCTGTTTTATATCTTGAGCATTTTCCATGTCTTTTTAAAAACTTAGAGAACACTTGATAGTTATATTTTATTTCATAATTTTTTTTCTTAATTATTCTCCTAATGTTGGCCTTTAAAATTTTTCTAATTTTTAAAATTATAAATAAAACTTTTTGCATAAGTCCTTATACCACTTCATTTTATAGATTAGTTTCCTAGAAGGAAACTGAGTCAAAAGGTAGAAGCATTTCTAGAGTTCTTGATATATATTGCCATGTGTTTCTACAAAGTTTCTATAAGGGGGCCTTCCCATTTTCTAGCCAGTGTGCAATAGAGCCCAGGGTTTGTCCAGATCCACTTCAGGAGTCATTCGGAGGGATAGGAATCAAGGTCAAATCTTGTCATTTCCAGTGCACTTGAGCTTCTTGCTTGACTTATTTTACTTACGTAATTTTCCTCTACTACAAGAAAACTATGGAGGTCAATATATGGTTCATGTATTTCTAACAGCATAATGTAAATTGTTATTTATGTTATAAGTCCTCATTTCTTGGCAGATGATTCAGGGATAATTTACTGCCTCTCCAGGCGAGAATGTGACACAACAGCTGACACCTTACAGAAGAATGGTCTCGCTGCTCTTGCTTATCATGCTGGCCTCAGTGATTCTGCCAGAGATGAAGTACAGCACAAATGGATCAATCAGGATGGCTGCCAGGTAACATTTTTTAAGTTAAATAAATAATATTTATAGTATATAAGCAAACTTGCACATGTAGAATGAAAATTGTTTTTACCGTAAGTAGCAAACATCAAAATAAGACTGAAATTGACAAAAACAGATGGTTTTTAAGACTTGTTTAAAGTTTCAAGGTTCTTTTTTCTTACATCAAAAAAAATTTTACTGCGATGTAATTCATATACCATAAAATTCACCCTTTCAAAGTTTGCAAGTCAGTGGTTTTTAGTATAGTCACGAGGTTATGCAGCCATCACCACTAATTCTAGAACATTTCATCATCTGTAAAAGAAATCCCATGCCCATCAGTAGTCACTCCCCAACCCCCATTCCCTGGCAACCACTAATCTGCTAACCGCCACTAATCCATCTTTTTAGGTGTTCCTATTCTGAACATTTCATATAAATAGAATCATACAGTATGTGTTCTTTTGAGACTGATTTCTTTTACTTATCACAATGTTTTCAAGATTTGTCCACGTTGTAGTGTGTATCAGTACTTTATTCCTTTTTGTAGCCAGATAATGTTCCATTGTATGGCTATGAAATAGTTCGCTAGCCATTCATTAGCTGGTAGATATTTGGGTTGTATCTACTTTTTTGTTATTGAACATTTATGTATAAGTTTTTGTGTGAACATGTTTTCAATTCTCTTGGGTGTACAGGAATGGAATTGCTTAATCATATGGTAATCCTGTGTTTAACTTTTTGAGGAACTGCCAAACTGCTTTCCAAAACAGCTACAGAATTTTACATTCTTACCAGGAATGTATGAGGTTCCAATGTGTCTGCCTCCTTGTTAACACATATTACTGTCTGTCTTTTTTACTACATCCATACGAGGATGAATTTGAGGAAAATGACATAATTTTTTTATAGACTGTGAAGTTTTCAGCTCATGCACACACAAAAAAATCATTACCCTGAAGATAAAGAGGAAAAATACCTCTCAAAGTTATTTTTTAAGGGAAAACAGAAGAAAGTCTTAGAGAATATCAGTCTAGTATCCTCAGAAAGATATAAGAAGACTTGACTTATATGAACTAGAAACAGTTTGCCCTAAGATCACAGGCTGTGATGAAGGGAGAAATAAAAATGTAGTTCATTCAAATAAGGAAATTCAAGAAAAACAAAACAAATAAAATTATATATCAAGATACAAATGGTCTAACTCAGTGCAGACATTTGAATCAATGATGTAGTAAATAACTTGAGAATGTGAAGAGAAAAAACAAATATGATATTTGTTGGTGACAGGGAGTAGAGGTTTAGTCCAAGAATAATAAGTGTACCCAAGGAAAAAATCAGGATAGCTGAAATAGATACAGTAGTCAAATGTAGTATAAATAAATATATAAATATATAACAAATTTAAAAGACAAAAATCACTGGGGAAAAACTTACATGTAGACATAGTTCAGCACTTTGATTTGTAAAAGCTAAAAAATTATATATTTATCAAGAGAAATAGTTACTCTATAAAGAACAAAAACCAGACATGCCTGAGACTGTTTAATTAAATTAAAAAAATAGGAACATGGGCCCGCCGAGTGGCACATTGGTTAGGAGCTGGCTTGGGACGCCAGCTCTGGGCAGCAGGGCCCGGTTCAGGCCCCACATGAGGGCCAGTGACACTGCCCTCTACAGCTAAGATGCTGAACAACAGCTCAACCTGGAGCTGGGCTGCTGTGGGTCGCCGGAAGCCATCATGAGCTGCCGGCAGCCGGTGTGAGCTGCCAAGAGCTGCGGTGAGCCGCCATCCAGAAGCCAGCGACTGATCTGCCTCACCCGGCCAGTGAAGCAACGTCCTCCACAACTAGACTGAAGAACAAAAGGACAGCAACTTGTCTGTTCCCCTCCCCCAATTCCCCAATAAAATCTTTAAAAAAAGAAAAAATAGGAACAGACTGTCTTTAGAACCAGAAGCGGGAAGATTAAGACTGAAGAATTTCATACCCAGCTCATTGTCACTTATGTTGAAAACAACAGAACTTCAGATATGTAGAAGTTCAGAAAATATATTGCTGATTTATCTTCACTGAAATCATTACAGATGTCAATCTTCCCAAATTATATATTTTATCAAAATTCAAGGTTTTTTTTTCCTTTGATAAACTTTCTCTAAAGTTTTCTGAGCAGAATATTCACGTGAAAATAACGAAAAGAATTTGTCAAGAAAATAATAACATGTGAAAACTGGCTTGCAATACATTATAGATAGATCAATGGAAAAGAAATCTAGAAACAGACTGGAAAACATGTAAAAACAACATATGATGAGCAACACATTAAAAATAATGAGGAAGGGAAGATTATTCAACTACTGGTACTGGTTACCTAATGTGGGGACTCATTCTGGGTCCTCATGTCAAAATGAATGACAGGTAAATAAAGGTATTGGTATTTTTAAATGTATGCATTCTGAGTAAAAGAGAACCTAAACTTAAAAACAGCCCAAAAGGAAATAATCACTAAAAATGATTAAAAACCTAAAGAACTCAATGCTTTTGTATCAATAAAATTAAAGGTAACAGCAAAGTAAGAAACGTATTGTTGGCATTTAAAACATAGTGAAGAGACTGTAAAAATTTTATAAGAAAAACATGAGTCTTAAGTAATAAATTACCAAGAGACTATTGGATAGGAAGAACTACAAAAAGGCTAAATTCAAATTTTTTTTAAAGCGCAGCTTTGCTAATAATCAAAGGAATTCAAATTTAAAACAGTAAGAGATCGTTTTCACCTCTTATATTAGCAAACGTTTACTAACTGTTGGAGACAGTGCTATAAGAGGCGGATGCCCACGTGCTCATGATAGCCTTTCTGGAAAACAATGTGGTGGATGACTCTGTCAAGAGCTTCAAGTCTGAAATGTGGCCATGGAATTTACATCAGTGTTATCTTTAATAGTAAACATCCTAATAGCTATTTACTACTGAAAAGCCTAAATGGAAATAGCCTAAATGTTCTGAGAGAGTGATTGGTTACACTATGGTACTACAGTCCTGCCATTAAAAATGATTTATGAATAATTTTTTAAGGATATGAAAGTGTTCAAATGTTAATGATGGAGAAAGGTGGTGAAAAATGAAATTTAAAAGTGTGTAGTCTCAACTATAAAAAGGAATCAAAGAATAGACAAGAAAAAAAGAAGCCTATTTTTTTCAAGTTCTTTAAATCTTTTTATAATATACTATAAATATTCTACAGTATACATGCGTTTATATATAACACTTTGATAAAAATATGGTTTTAAAAATTGGTGCGTTTTTTTTCTTTCTTTTTTTAATAATTGTTTTATTTTTCAATTACAGTTGACATACAATATTATATTAGTTTCAGGTGTACCACATAGTGGTTAGACATTTATGTAACTTACAAAGTGATCACTTGATAAATCTAGTACCCACCTGACACTATGCGTAGTTATTACATTATTGACTATCCATCAGTGGAAGAATGGATAAAGAAGAGGTGGTACATATGTACAATAGAATATTACTAAGCCATTAAAAAGAATGAAATCTTGCCATCTGCAACAACATGGATGGACCTAGAGGGTATTGTGCTGAGTGGAGTAAGTCAGACAGAGAAAGACAAATGCCATATAATTTCACTTATATGTGGAATCTAAAGAACAAAATAAACAAAACAGAAACAAACTCATGGATGCAGAGAACAATTGCCAGCTGGGAGAGGGGTTTGTGAGGGTGGCTGAAAAAGGGGAAGGGATTAAGAAGTACAAATTGATAGTTACAAAATAGCCATGGAGTTGGTTTTGTTTTTTAATCTAATTGTTTCTCAGACCAACTAATCCAACTGGACAGCCTTAATAGATATGTGAGAAGAAATAAAACTTGGTTGAAATGATTGAAGCCTAAAGTTTTAAAAGCAACACAGAAAAAAGGAAATAACAACTGAGCAAAGCCAGTTTTCCCAGTTATAAGCAATAAGGGCTTTGGGATTTCAGAAAAAGTTGGCATCATCAGTGACCTTGAGCCATGTGCTGGGAGACACACCCGGGCTTCTTGGAACCCCATGGGTCACAATCTGTGGGCCCGTGGGCTTGGACATCTCGCTCCACAGCCTCTCCACCTGCTCTCCACCACTGGAGGCTATGGTAGACCGCCTCTCTCCAAGGAGATTTGCCTTTGATCAAAGCACCATAGCTGATTAATCTAGAGTGCAGGCTGCTGCCATTCCCAGCACTGATGAATGTACTCACCTGCCATCTACATGCTCCATAGTTTCAGTCCGTTTCTCTGGCACTCACAGTTACTGAAACTATGGCATTAGCCTCAGTCTGGCTGCCAGAGAGTCCAGTTGCTTTTCAAATACTGTGCTTGCAGTAGCAACTCATTTATTAAAGTGCTAAAGGCAGACTTGCAGCTTTATTTGTATAGTCTAATCTTTCCTGGAGAAAAAATGTTTTTGTCAGGGTTAAATAGGTCCAAAATTTGCACCCGAAATGGATATTCTTGAAAATGATTTTTTACTAAAAACTTTTTTATCAAGCTTTTGAAATTTAACTATCATCTTGCTTCTACTAAGTGATTTGCATAGGCCAAGATCGATGAACTCCAGCCATTTTTTTTTTTTTAGTATAAGCAACTCTCAGACTTTTCCCCACATGAGTTCCAATAAAAATTTCATGTTTTGACTTTGAAATCAGCTGATGAATAAAAGGAGCTGGTGTATGATCAGCTACTGCCACTGGGAAGACAGATGGTAGGCACTGGAACAGGTGAGAATGCCGTTGTTCCTGAATCATTGGAGAAGCTGGCAGCAGTGACCTCTGAAACCTCAAGCCCGGGGAACCCCTGAGCTCCTGCATAGCACATTTCCAATCACTGGCCTGGATATCCTGGCTGTGTGAGCAATGCCCCTCACACCTCCATATCAAAAACATAAGAGAACAAACAGTGACAGCACATGGAGAGGTGACTGCTCTTGATTCTGGCTCCCTTACATGATAATACCAAGTCACTCCGAGCTTCTCCGCCTTCTTGGGTCTTAATAGAACTGCAAATTGTCAGTGTGAAAATCTCATATTAGTCATGCTAAATAACGGAACGAAGTTAAGATATTAGGTGGTTGTATCGAGTACATGTTAAAGTAAAATAGAAGATAAAGCTTTTAGAAGTATCTGTTACTAAAATGTTCCTTTAAATGCATTATGAGTCTAATGGGCTTTTGCTCTTACATCAGGTTATCTGTGCAACAATTGCCTTTGGAATGGGGATTGACAAACCCGATGTGCGATTTGTGATCCACGCATCTCTCCCTAAATCCATCGAGGGTTACTACCAAGAATCTGGCAGAGCTGGAAGAGATGGGGAGATATCTCACTGCCTGCTTTTCTATACCTATTATGACGTGACCAGACTGAAGAGACTTATACTGAGTAAGTCCTCTTCATTCTTGAGATAGTAGTAATCTACTCCTGCTATTGTGGTACTTCCGGTCTAGTTTTCCTTAAATAGTCATAGAAAAATAGAGGTGCTTATATGCATATAGAAGTTGTATTTTAGCTCATTTTTATGATAAAAGTGTTACATGCTGATTATATAAAACTCATATGGTAGACACGTATCAGACAGATTTCCAAACCATGCCTTGTATACACTCCTGCCCCAAGAAATTATTCCTGTTTCCTTTCTGTCCTTCCAGACCTAGTTTTTGCAAACATGGTTGCATATAACACATTTTTCAAACATGCAAAAAGGTCAAATGGGAAAAATAATGAACTCTCATGTGCCACCATCCAGGTTAAGAATTAAAATAAAACCTCGCTGTCTCTCTCTCTCTCTCTCTCTCTCTCTCTCTCTCTCTCTTTCTCTCTCTCTTTCGGTCTGTCTCTCTAATGATACATGTTGTATTTCTGCT